AATTGTTTTCATAAGATAACTTTAACTTGCGTTGTTCTCTAGTGTAAACTAGTGCGTGTTGATTTTATGTTGTATACGTACTATTTTTTGCATCCTGTTTTCGTATATTAACACAAGAAAGAGAAGTCCCTGGTCTACTGCAACCCCATCTTCTAGAGTCGACCAACCTGCACTGACCTTGGGATTGAAGGGTTATGTGAGGTCACGTAAGGGCCTGATTACCCCAATCAGTACACACAACGTGCGCTTGAAGTGTAGGCAGGCCCACTATAACCCAGTAATCGGCAATGACATTCTGCATTGTTATATCCGTCTAACAAACAATTCATTGCATTTTGTACAAAAGCTTTTAATTGTATTATCTGAATCCAGATAATCCTAAAAGAAATTTGGTAGATATTTGCTCAAAATATATTACGCTGGGACCAATTTTATGTCTAAAATTGCCATAAAATGTACGTTAATATACTGCTCCACTTAAAATAGGCAATTTTGCAACTAAGCTATCAGGTTACGCCTTACGCCAACCCTCAAACACCCGAACAGGGTCCATTTGGACCCCAGGCGTATATTTTTATGTGCTATTTGAAAATATTTATTCGAAAAAAATTCCTTCCGTGACTTTGTCAATAAACCTCTTCTTCAAGCTCTCATAAATGTTTTTGGAGATCGGCACAAATTTGTAAAAATAACAACGGAAAGTCTGATGTTCATGCCTGCAGGCCTAATCCATTTTTTGCATAAAGTATGATAATGAGTTGGAATTTTTTGGCACTTAATCATGCCAAAATATACCTCTTACTATGTTTAACCAATATATGTGCAAAGATCACTTAAAGAATGCAAAGTGGAATATGAGTTTGAAAGAAACCAAATGGGGTCCATTTGGACCCCGTTCGGTCAATACGGTAGTACCGTCACAAAAAAAAGTTCGGGTGTTTGAGGGTTAATATTATAAGCGGTGGACTTCAACACGCCGGCGACCTTATCAAAGTACAAGGCCGACACCTGGAGTACAAACTCCGTCACGTCACATGACGGAAAGAGCTTACACTGGAAACAACAACAGTAACGTACGGCGTCTCTTCAAAATGAGCGAGCCAAATATTTCCGCGGTTCTTTTGGAGAAGGGCAATCTGAAAATGGTGAGTTTGAACGATTAGATGTAGTAGCACAGTTTTTGTACAAAACCTATTTCATACACTTTTAAGTAAGTACGCACTAGAATAATTCATATTCCTAATACAACTAGGCAAAGCTTCCATCGAAAAACACCTGTCTTTTAATATCTATTATATTAACTGGAAAGCGAGGAGAAGTTGAATTTATCTAATGGTAGTTTTAGTTTGTATCTGTTAACTGTATCTGTTCATCACGGTTTTGTTGTGACCCGTACTTAGCCCAATGTACGACAAAGGTCGTCATTTGTTCATTTAAAGAGAGGCCTGCATGCCCTTTTTTCGTAAGGCGTAATTAGGCCTTTTTAGTCTCCATAATCCGTAGGCAGCCTCCCCCAACATCAACGTAATTCGTAATTATAGTACATTAGCCACAAGGCGTAAAGTCGTAATCAGCTATGAGACTTTAACGTAATTCGTAATCGGTGGTGAAAATTTTGCGTAATTCGTAATCACTAACCCCCCATGCAGGCCCTCTTAAAGGGGGCGTGCCAAATATGTTTTAGTGCTCTATGCGGCCTGCACGATACTCGCGATGGGGGGAATAAATGTGTGTGTAAAAATAGTTGTTGACCGATTTTGAATCTCAACCTTGGCTTGAGTGAATCCCAACAAATGTGGACCTCTGACCTCTCCACTGTAATTCATTATGTTATTTAAGCTACCTTTAATTGTTGTACACATAAGTAGGTAGACCTACGTGTAGATTGTTGTTAAGATTGTTATTGTTATACTGTTTTTTAAGCTGTTTGTTGTTGTATATAATGGTAGCTTTTAAGTTTGTAATTGATTATATATATATTCATCTTTTAAATGTAAAGGACTCCTGGAAGACTAGTAAACAAACTTTGTATTCATGAAGCAATATCCACGATTACTAGCCTACTTATGGTCGGAATGTTTTGCGAATAAATACAGCAAACTCTGCTGTGTTGCAGTTAGCTAAGGCAAAGTTCGTGTTAGAGAGCAAAGTCTAAACATGTTGATTTTTGAACTGATTATGTAACACTTGTTTTTTTCCGTAGGAAGAGAGGCCAATCCCAAAGCCTGGAAAGAATGGTAGGTCAAATCAAGTATAGTTCTACAATATAACTTTAAACCGCTTGATTGAACCAATCCTGTCGCACAGCATACTGATATCTTCGAGGAAAACCTGCGATGTCACTACTGAGTCACGTAAAACAGTTGCTTGTTTCGGAGTAAAGAGACTCTTTTTGCACAACCAAGTCTTTTATTCAGCTGACATTTCGGTGACCGTCTGTCATTGCATTGCAGCACACAGGTGTCGCTGCTACCGATGCCTTTCCAAATGTACAGAATGCATCTTTAGCAGCGACACCTGTGCTGCAGTGCAATGTGAATTGCCATGAGGAAGGTGACAGACGGTCACCGAAACGTCAGCTGAATAAAAGACTTGGTTGTGTAAAAAGAGTCTCTTTACTTACTAATAGTGTCTTACCAACCTGATGAAACTATTCACTGTTGCTTGTTTCACATATTGTAGACAGGTTCAAACTACAGTATTCATTAGTGTTTTTTTAAGGGAGTCCTCAGGCAGCTAGCTTGTTCACTTTTTCAAACACTTCAAGTATGAAAATGATGACGAAAATTGTGCAAAGAAATAGCAGTAAATGTCACACATTTCTTCATCCAGAAGAATAGTATGTACTGCCGACCGTACGTCGTTTGTTTAAGTTATAACTTGGTCACATTGTGGCGTTATGTTTGTTGATTATTTAATTAGCAGCATGACGTAAGAAGCTATTAATGGACTGCAAGCAATCAAAGATATAGCTTGAATTTGGTCCTCCTGTCTTGGTACTGCAGCAGATTTTTACAACTTTATCTTACAATTTTAGTATCTCATCAATTTATTGACAGAGGTGCAAATCGCGATTCACTCTGTGGGCATCTGTGGGTCCGATGTCCACTTCTGGACGGACGGGTCTATCGGACCGTTCCTGGTGAAGTCTCCCATGGTCCTGGGGCACGAGGCCAGCGGCACGGTGTGTCAGCTCGGGGAGGGCGTCACTCACCTCAACATTGGTAAGAAACTTGTCTGTTCTGTCTTGTTAATGTTGTACCTGCTCCTTCGGGAAATAACCCTAACCTTAACTCTTTCTTTCACTTAAAAACATACTCAACAACAAAAAGCAAACAAACAAATAAACAGACAAACATGGTACTATAATCTCCAAGCAGATCTTTTGGTGGGGGTAAGACAGTATCAAATTGGCCAGTCTGTAACCATTTTCTCACTTGGATTATGGTACTATACAAAACAAGTAACACTCGCGTAACCACAAAATTAAAACATAAAATCAGAAAACAATGTTCTATACTAGCATAAAAGTTCATATGAGTTTGTAAAATACATGAAGAAAATTAAACTGTTCTTCAACGAAATTAATGTGTGCTGACGTCGCACGTGGCTAAAAGTCACGTGTCCATAGCACTTGGGTCATAAAGAGCACGTCGGCAGAACGTACTGCGCCTGCGCAGAACCCCGTATTTTCGCGTTTTTCGTTGGGTTTTTGGTCAACGTTGCATCAGAATTTTGCCTGTTGCTGAGGATATTCTTTCCGACATAACATTTGGAAACTACTGTCGAAATGCTAACCTTATATGAGCGAATACAACCTTATATGAGACATTCTGCCGAAATGCTATGTACAATACATTACGGGTTTCGCGCAGGTGCAGTACGTTCTGCCGACGTGCTGTCATAAAGCTGATGAAGACTGAGCGATTAAGTCGAAAATTTCTGGTGAGTTAATTTCGATTTGACTTGGAGAAGTTTAATTTATTTCAACAATGGTCTATGATTACAAGTGAAAATAATTAGAGGAATAAGAAACCCTATCAATCAAAACTGAATAAAGGAAGTATTGTTTTGAGTGACGTTGGTATACGGGAAGTTTGCATGTATATCGTCCTCATCACCAGTCAGCAGCAAGATCTGAAGGTAAGTGGGCGGAGATTGGGTTTCAGTTGATTGTGATTGTGAGTCGATTAGCAATGGATCATAATTTGTAGAAAGTCTGTGCCTCCTCCCCCCATGCGTCTTTGTTGATGCCTAGTTGTAATATAGCAAGCGGGAGGGCCATGGAGTTTTTTTTGGGGTGGAGGCGACCTCTTAAGCTTACATGTGCGCACCGATCCTCAACTTGGTAAATAACTTAACCCTATCTAGACCGGGCTTTTGTGGGCTCTTTCGGCCCCGCCCCCTCAGAACTCGCGAACGGTATATTGTAGGACCACAAAATTTTTAGAGGATGGTGTACTAGTAAAAATGTATCATATGTACAATTTTTATGTTGTTGTGACGTAATATGACGTCATTATGACGTCATTAATGTGATTTTATTGGCCAAAACCGTCTAGATAGGTTATTCCCTGAAAACTAAACAGTATACGACATAACTTTACCAAAAGTGTTTATGACAGAATATTAGGATGTACTAAGTCTTATGTTGCCCATAGCAACACCGGTGACGTCATAAAATGACGTCATGCATATATTACCTATCCGCCATCTTGGATCATCAATCTTGAATTTTGAAAAATAGTTTTTTTTCAGGATAAAGCCTAAAATACATTGTAAACAGACTAAAGACGTTCATATGAACCTTTTTTGTAAAAAGAAATGGGAGTATTGATGAAAATTTAAGGAAAATAAGCTGTATTTAACTGATCTAATGATATGGTCCGCCATCTTGGATTTCGGCCAATGACGTCATCAAATTAGCATAAATTATGCATTTTTGAATGATGAAATTTACATATAATTATATGTGATGTTATTAATATTAGAAACAATGTGTAACTTGACATAAAACCCATAAAATTCTGTTGTTTAAATGGAAATTATTATATTTGGCAAAAAATGCCTGTCAGAAACTCAATGCATAATGCCGGTATAATACTTCGTGCAAAGAAGTCTGGCTTCGTGTCAAGTTCAATTTCTTGTGTTTGGGATTATAAGTTTAAACTTGCTTCATAATCTCAGAGTCTAGTTACAAAGGGCAGTATATTTTACTGAATACTCATTTCTTCTCCCTCAATGTCTGTCCAGGTGATCGTGTGGCCATAGAGCCAGGCATACCGTGCCGGCAGTGTGCGGCCTGTAAGGGGGGCAAGTACAACCTGTGTCCGCACGTCAAGTTCTGTGCCACGCCCCCTGTGGACGGCTCGCTGTGCAGGTACTACGTCCATCCGGCCGATCTGTGCTTCAAGTAAGTCTATGTAAGGCCATGTTGATTTGATCATATGGATAACATCCACGCGCATAGATTTCTGTCCGTTTCGACCATGGTACTGTACATGCAAATCGCATGAAATGAGCGAATATATGTCACATGTTGCATAAAGAAAGTATATGGAAAACTATAGTTATGTCATAGAATACCGAAGTCAATTCAGGAAAAGAAGAAAATGTGAAGAAATGAAAATGAAGAGTCCTATCAGAGTTTTATCTGTAAATCTCAATATATAAATGGTGGCAGAACCTATATATTGAGTGGTGATGAAATCACATAAAAACTCATTAGTAATGCATGAATTTTGCTGTATTGCCCTTTGGCCAATTCGAAAAAAATGTCTTATATATCTGTATCTGTATAGCCGGTATAACCTGTATCTGTATAGCCGATGTAACACACCAGCTTCGCAGGCACGCGGCGCGGCGGCAGCTGGCTAGATTACACCGATCGACTTGTTACACCTAACCCTTGAACTTCTAACTCTAGACATTGTTTAAATCTATCTAATAACAGTGTTTATCATAAGTGCTTAAAAATATATTCCAGGCTCCCCGACAACGTGAGTTACGAGGAAGGTGCTCTGCTTGAGCCTCTGTCTGTAGCTGTGCACGCCTGCAGGAGGTCAGGGGTCACCATTGGCAGTAATGTCCTCGTCTGTGGTGCAGGTACTGTGTTAAGTGATGTTTTGGTAGCTGACATTGTAACTCTCTATATGACCGGACGGTGCTATGAAAATAAACAATTACATCATAGTCCCCGTACATTCACCATTTTCCGATTCCCAGGATGCATAGTACCAAAGGGCCGGTGGTCCTTTTGTGTTTACATTTGGTTGATGACAGAGTCTGAAATAATGAAGGTTGATACCTTAATAACATCATACTACAACCTGTTGATTTATTTCAAGAATGGTTGCATCTAGTAACTCTATTTGACAAACGGTTAGCATTGTGACGTAACTTTATACATCACATGTTTACTAGAAGTTTCACTCTCCATTTGTTGTCAGATTCGATCCTGTATTGTGCAAAAAACTAAGTGGTCTACTACACAGAAGGCACAAACGCCACAAAACACAGAAAAACACGAATTAAAATGATAACAGTATATTGAGCTCATATACATCCGATGTGCATCCTGGGAATGTGAAAAGGGGAACACTTAAGTAGTCCCTTCGTGGGGTTTCTGTGAATATATTACGCATGCGAGATAAGTACTGAGTAATTAATATTTAGAAAAATTAATGAAACGACTTTGTTCTAAAATTTGAGCGGGGATTTTTGTTTCTTCTGTTTCTATGCGCTGCATAAAGTGTTGGTCATACCCTTGCTGTTTTGCTCCAGGTCCCATAGGTCTGGTGTGCCTCCTAGCCGCTAAGGCGATGGGTGCAGCTAAGGTGGTCACCACAGGTAAACACGAGTACTTTGGAGACAATATTAGTAATAGTTCTTACTAGTCCTTTACTCTAACAGTCCTTGTTTTTCTTATATTCTGGCTGTCTTAAGTAGCTTCCAGCAGAGCACGGTTAAAAGCAAGCCTATTTGAATACTTTTTAGAGTACAAAAAATATACGAAGCACCAAACCTATCATCAAAGACAAAGATGCATTATGTAACGATACTAAAAGTCAGCTAGTTTTCAGGCCGTTTCTTAACAAAGTTGAATCAGTCCTACTCCAATGCAAATATGTGTCATTCAGGGAGTGGAGGTGCCAAAACATGACGCCTTACGACTGTGTTTAAAAGCTAGAACGACAGCTGTCAGCCATGTTTGTTTAGGACATGCTGGTATTCTGTGGTGGTGCCACAAAATGAGTACGCATTGTGCTAGAGCTGTTATATTCCCAACCATAAATATGAAAACAGCACATATTTATTGCATTTTTTAAATTAAAATATTTCGATTTTCGTGCAAAATTGTTACATAATGCCCCTTTAACTACAATTATTTACTAACAGATATTGACGCCAAGCGGCTGGAATGTGCCCGGCAGATGGGCGCTGACGTCACCGTTGACGTCACGTCACGTGACGGCCGTGCTGTGGCGGACCAGGTGGTGCAGGAGCTGGGGTGTCAGCCTGACGTCACCATAGAGTGCAGCGGTGCGGAACCCAGCATCCACGCAGGCATATATGTGAGCAAGATAACTATTGCGTATCCAGAACCGTGCCTATCTAGCTATAAGGTCTCATTCATGAGTTTTTTCGATAGAAACCATGATTAGAAACCATGCATTAATGAGTGACTTACCAGACCGTGTTCCCCATGATCCTACATTAAATCAATTGATATCTTCCATGCTATGTTAAGCACACTTACTCTACATCTCATTAAAAAAATTGCCAACGACTTCTATACACACAAACCCCTTTTATGGGAATTACAAACTGCACTTAGCGGCTGCCCGCAAGAGGCCCTCCCGCGCTGCAAACCTACGACCGCACAACTCACAACACAGGACTGTGCACCTCCGACCTAGCGCGCGGCTGCCGACAGTTACGTCCTAATTTCATCAGTTACAAACAAGCTTTCACCGCTTTGACGTTTTACATCAGTTGGGATGGCTGAAGGGAAAATTCTCACCAATAAAAACACGCGTTCATACAGCCGTTTAGTTTTTGACTTGGTACTCTTTTAGGTAATACATGAATGGGACCTTATTCTATACCTGAATGGGTTAGAGTTAAGCCCAGGCACTGTTGAAAAGGGACAGCATGAAATTTATGTAGTGTTGTGGACTCCCATAAAAAGAAATAACACTAACAGGTGAACTAATTTCGTACTTTTTGGAATCACGTGAATGATCAGACGAATTGTTTTGCCGTAAGTCGTCAGGTCATAGGTCACTGTTTGGAGAAGAAAAAGAGGAAGAAACTGAGGAAAAACAATATGTTTTTCTTCGGTAAACATAAAAAAAAACTAACAACCATCGCCTTGATTTTTACTGTCAGCAATAGTTTAATTTCTCTGGAACAGAAAGACGAAAAAAATTACCTAAATCAATATGTTTACTCCTGTGTATATATTTTTTGCCGTATCAAACTCGTGTACAACAAGAGTTCTGAGATCTCATACCTCCATGAAATATGGGCTTGCTTTGTCATACTTCATTTCAACATGTCCTCATTAATTATGCAAATAACCTCTACATTAACATAATATTTGCATAGTGGTGCTAACCTTCAAGTAACTTATACATGTCACGAGGTATAAAATCCCCATCATTCACCAATAAGGAGTCACAAAATGTTCAGATAAATTATGCAAATTAGGTCACCATTTGCATAATTGGTATCTGTTGATGTTCCGCCTGCCACAGATTAAATAGATTACATGTATAGCAGTACTATTATATAAAACACTGTAATTATAGAATTTTCTCATTTATTATGCAAATTAAGTCCTCATTTGCATAATTTTCATTTAATCATGTACAACTGTCTCTCAGATACCTACATACCAAAAATGATGAAAATACGTTGTTCCTATCTGGACTTATTGGCTTTGAAAGTTTTTATCAAAAACTAACCTGCAGTTCCAGAACAAGCTGCTAGGGGGACCAAACTTACGCTACTTATTCTCTGTCACAAAAAAAGTCAAGACCATAGCTTGTTTAGGACAAAAGATACAAAAACCGGAAGTTCTGCTGCAGTACCAAGGTCATCCACCAGGGGGCCCTTACTTGACCTTGACCTTTGTCCTCCCAAGACTTACCATCATACCAAATATCATCACAATCCATAAAGGCGTTCTGAAGTTATGCTGACTACAAAGTTGCGGAAACACACACAGACAGACAAACACACACACAGAGACATACAGACAGACACACCAAAAACAATACCTCCATTTTTCATGGAGGTAATTATGCAAGTGCATGGCATACAGCTTCGTGTGATCGAGGAGGAACGTTATTAAAAAGTATAGTTTTTTGTTGACACGTTGAAAATGGAGACTAAAGAAAACTTTATATTCCCAGATAGCTGCAATCTTTTTCTCAATATGTCATCTTGGACCCTGGAGTAAGACTGTAAAATTCGCACATTCTGACAGATTTTGCGAAATGGTTTCGTCGATTCACTATTTACATTCATCCGTTACCAACTTAAGTGCCCCACTGTCATGTAGTGATTTTAAAAGTTCATGCTGGTGAAAAAAATCATGTATACTTCTATTGACTGTCATTTCCATGGGCGTCTCGTCGAAGTAATGGTAATATACTGTTTTGTTGTGAACATCCGTTTGATATGGGTAGAAGCCATATAGGGTGATGACGTCACAAAATGTACTGGCGAGGGTGTAGGTATTGAGTCCGGCAGTTGTAACCCCATCGGAAAGTTTGCTGTTGAAATTTTCATTCCAGAACCTAAAGGCAAGACAATTTTTGCTTAGCATGAAAGTTCATCTGTGTTGGTACAAATCATTATGAAATAAAGACTGAACTGTAACTTCCAACACTAGGTATAGAATTGGGACTTACCCAGCTTGGGAGGAGTTAAGGAGGCAGTCTACATAAGAGCTCACAGACCTACCCTGAACAGAGACGGGGGGCGACACAAGTTATCTGGCACGTATGACCCGCTACTACGGTCACGTGTCTCTGACGTCACGTTCCAAGAGTAGACGGGTCCATTCCGTGAACAAGGTTGATGGAGTCAACCGAAAATGTGGGTAAGTCCCAATTCTATACCTAGTGTTGGAGGTTACAGCTCAGTCTTTATTTCATAAGACAATTTTTGATTAGGGTGATATTTGATAGAGACACTGTAACTGATTTTTTCGTGGTATATATATGTTTGCATTTTTCGAGGTCACTTCAGTACAGCGAACGTATCATTACCGTTAACAAATAATTCGCCAACTTTCCTTTTAAAAAAGAGAAAGAAAGAGAGAGAGAGAAAAAAAAAGAAAAAGAAAGGAAGGAAGGAAGGATGGAAGGAAGGAAGTAAGGAAGGAAGGAAGGAAGGAAGGAAGGAAGGAAGGAAGGAAGGAAGGAAGGAAGGAAGGAAAATTTCATCATGAGACACTCACGTTTTGACATGAGGTCTTGGTGGAGTCACCGAATACGTCATTGTGATGTTAAGATCCAACTTCCTTATCATCGTGTTTAAAGCAGGAAGCTTAAGGTTTCTGTGGTTGCCGAGTATATAGCTCATTATGGAGTTATTCCGAGAAATTATCCACTGGGGGTCAAAATCGACTCTATCCATTTTGTCCAACACTCTGCTGTTGATAATGGTCATGTTCGTCTTCTCCCCGACATCCTGAAACAAACAAAAATATTAATGAGACGTTTATTGCAAATTCATGCCCGGGGGGCTAATTGCAGATTACAAACATAAAATAACAATGAAACGTAGTATAGAATAACTAAAATCTACATGATAAAAGGTAGTCGTGAGAGCAATAGCTATGTCTAAAACTATGTCTAAGGGGTTTGACTTCTCTTTTTTTAGACCATGGAAGACGTAATGTCCCACCTTTTCTAAAATTAGTGGGTTTTGGGAGGTTAAATGAAGAATACGTGATTTGGTACCAGGCTAGGAGCCAGGTCGGACAGCACAGGGAGGTGTTTGAGGAACTCTGGGGGAATCACGGTGCCCAAGGCACGGACAAACAGACTGTACAACTCATTCCTCCATTGCACAATCAGACTGTACAATAGCGAAATGCAGACTTAGTGTTTTTTTGTTTCATGTCCCACTCCTGTATGTAATCGTCTTGTGTGTTTCTTATACTTAATAATATGTAAAGTCCACACAATGTACCCCTGCTATGTTGACTATTCTTAATAAAATTGAAAATTGAATAGTTTTTCCTTGGTCTGTAAGTTTAGTAAAATTGGGATAAATTGTAGAAGTTTGAATAGTTATCTCATTTCGAGCGTTGCTATGAAAGGAACAATTTGAGATAAAGTGTATTTCGTCTTCCACAGCCTTTGCATTACAATATTTACAAATTCTTTCACATACAGGTAGCCTTCTATACCGGCCTCTCTCTATTTCCAGAGGATGGGCGCTAACTCTAATTTTGCTAATGGCTGAGCGTTGTTCGAAATCTGCAAGATTAAGATATCGCTCTATGTTGTACATAGTTTTAATAAGATAAACCCTAAGAGCATACATCATTACAAGGACTGGCTTTCTGTCCCTTCAATTCATCATGGAGCTAAACCTCCATGAATTTGTATACTATTCTTGGTAAAATGAAGAAACTCGATTGCTAAAATTAGTAATGTGCTAACCCTGTTCAAAACGGGCTTTAGAGACCCGCTCCCTGTAAAATCAGCCCTAGGCTCTTCCAGTAACCATTTTCCGTCAGAATATAGGGAATGATGCTCCATAATGGTCAATATACATTGGGATAGTGTGGTTTCAACTCAGGTTTCCCAGCCTTAAAAACTGTACTGGATGCCTTTAAGATCTTACTTGTAAAGATACTAATAAAACATTGCATTAGCACCCTATAGTTAGGCCACACCAAGTAAATTGTATGGATGACGTCCGCGCGCGCATTGATTTTGGACTGTTCCTAGAAAAATCCCCAAGAAATTCCGCTTCCTGTAACTATGACCAAAGAGTCACTACAGTGCCGCAAATAGGTTTGTACGGACCAAAGCTTCTGAAGCATCAAGCAAGGAAATCATGACTTCCTTTAGGAATTCAGTTTGATACAAGAAACCTGCTGACCGCTCCATCTACCTCCCCAAAGCACAAGACGACAACTGCTGTTCCACCTGATTTATTGCTGTTTGATGATGAATAAGACTTCTTGCTTGTTAATCTGTGTCACCTCATTCAATTTGTGTCCTAACATTTGTCGTCTCTTAGTATATTTCTAACCTAGGCATCTTGTTTTTTAGGGCCCTTCTTGTTTTTTTTTCGCCCTCTCGCATTAGATTTAGGGTCTCCAAAGGACGTCATCCATAAAATGGTGTGGCCTTATCAAAATGACATAAATGCATTGTCACCTGTTCGAATGTCTTTAATGGAGCATCATTTACTCTGATAACAAAATCATTGCGGTCAATGTCATCCCCACAGCCGCCGTCACGGAGAATGCCACTATTGCCGACAACTGCGCATGCCCGGTAATGTCCCACTGGTGTTGTCATGACAACAGGCGTTCCATTTT